TTGTGTAAGATGACTGGAAAACTCCCGTCGATATTTTTTGGTGAGACTTTGGCATGCAGGGTTCCCTCTGCATGTTGGCAACTCCGAGCTGTGTTACTTGTCACAGACCGCCTCTCGCGGGGGCTCCCTGAAGCTGGAGTTGACTGTAGCGCACACAGAGTACCCAAAGACACTGGCAAGCGGCAGTGGCTCCGCTCGGTGCTCTCTCAGCGGGGGTAAGGAAGCCGTCTAGGACCTCAGACGGCAAAGCTGACGGCTTCCGTCGATCTGCCGCCAAGGTCGTTTGCCGCTGCGAATACTGTGCGGCAACAACCTTGACGTGGCCACGTCTTAATTTGGACGTTTCACACCCCGGCCTGGCGGTCAGCTGCGGCAGCTGTCCGGAGCCGCGGGCGCCCGCGTGGGCGCTGCCGGTGTGGGGGATGCTGGGAGATGTGTTGCCGGGGATGCCACGGTGACTGACGCCACCCCACCGCCCGGCAGCTGCTCGGACAGAGGAGCGCCCGTCTCTCTCTCTCCCTGGCTCATGGCCTGTACCATGTTATCCATAATGTGAGGGGGGGTTAGGGAGTGCACCAACCAGCACTGAAATGCTGCTGGCGCTACCAGACTTTCTCTGGCCATTTAGATACTCAGTTTTTATACACTGTAAGAGCTGTCATTCATCTTATACCCATTATTTATACCACACCATGTATATCACTATAAATATGTACCTTTTGTAGGTATTTACACAGACATGAATAATGTGCAGCTGTTTCTAGTACTTTTGCACTATTTTTCACTTTGGGATTAGATGCCAACCTGCATTTTGTTGTCTGAGTACTTTGCACAATGACAGCGCCGAATCTAGCCTGATCTAATCCAGTGTGGATTAAGTGTTAGCACAGTTTTATGATTCATTCATTCATCCAGTGAGCTTGCAGTGAGCCCAGGAATCGCAGTACATGGCACTGGGGACACCCTGGACAATATTCCAGTCCATCGCAGAGCACTGACTCACGCGCCGCGGACAGCGGACCGGATCCACCGGATCGTGCTTGCGATCCGATGATGATGTGGATTTAGTGTGCATGTCGGAGATCTTTGGAGAGGGTACGCCGTGCGATTTAATTTATTTACGTGCCGTCACTGTGGATCTCGTTGCGAACTCAAACGCGTATTAAATTCGTAGGGTGGGGCGGGGGGAGGCGTCGCTGCACCTGTCGTTCACAGCAGCCCAAACCCCTGGTTTTGTCGCCTGCTACGTCCCACGGCGCTTTCAATTAAAGGGCCGGGGCCAGCGGTTAGCGCAATCCCACTCCGGGTGTACCGATTTGATTAAATCAGTCCTGCCCCCCCCCCCACAATTTTCTTCAGTTGTTCCTGTGGGTAATTTTCATGCGTGAGGTTTGAGGAACCATCTGGAAGGCAGGGTAGCATAGCTTCGCGTAGCTTGTATGTATTTCCTTAATTCAGTGTTTCCCAATCCGGTCCTCAGAGACCCCCAACCGGTCCATGTCTTTGCTCCCTCCCAGCTCCCGATGGAGAGCTGGGATGCGGCGAAAATGTGGACTGTCTGGCAGGGAGCTGGGTGGGAGCAAAACCATGGACCGTCTAGGGGGGGGGGGTCTCTGAGGACCGGGTTGAGAAACACTGCCTAAATTTTCCGCTACAATGTCCAGTGACTTTCCCTTACATAACATTTACTCTATTCTGCGCAGTGATAAACACAGAGATAAAATTAATTCAACATATACTGGAATGCTTCATCTTGTCTACCCCACCTTATTTTCTACGAGACACACAGACACATATAGAGGCGAGAGTAGGCTTGGGGGGGGGTGGGCACAGCACAGGGTCGACCATCATGCAACCCCCGTCGATCTGGGGGTTAAGGGCCCCTGGGTATGGAAGCATTCTGCTGAGGCCGGGCCTCAAACCGGTGACCTTCTGATCACCAGCACAGAGGTTCAGCCCTCTAAGCCACCCCCCAAACACACTTGCTAAGATCATGCAAAATCCTCACATACAGAGCTGGGGTGGGGTGGGATTTGAACCCTGGACCCTTGCCTCCCACCATGCCCCCGGCGGACCTGATGAGATGAGGTGAATAATGTTACTCTTTTTTTGTGTCGTATCTAAGATGTTAAATGTTTTTTAAAGGAGCTGGATGTTAAAAGGTTAAGGAGCCCTCCCCAGTTTGATCGGGCTCTTCCAGGCCTGAAGTTTTGACCCACATGCTTATTTGTGAACAGACTCGCTGTCGTTTTTTAAACAGTTTGGCACCAGCTGTGCACCCCCCCCTGTACGGTCCGGGGGACGGCGCCGGGTCATCCTGAGTCGCATTCGTCTGGGGGGGAGGGGGGGAGGGAGACTCTGACTCTGAGACGATGCTCTCCTCCTCTTAGGATGTGTCATGTGCTCTTGGCTGGGGGTGGGTTCCTAGGAAGAACCCGGTGGCCTGATAAAAGCATCCCGTCCCCTTCCCCCCCCCCAGCTCGGCCGGAGGGAAGGAGCACGTCTGTTATTTACTCAGGCTGCTCCGGATTGGGAGTTGGCGGTGGGTGTAGGGGTGGGGGGGGGTAGGCTGGGACCTGACAGCTCCTATCTCCGCTGTGCTCTCTGGGGCCGCCCCCCCCCCCCCCCCCCCCCCCCCCCCCCCCCCCCTTTTTTTTTTTTTTCTTTGGGGTGTGGGGGGGGGGGGGGGGGGGGGGGGTGGTGGGTGCTCTCGGATTTTCTCCTGGCCCTGCTCTCCGGGGGCCCCCCCCCCCCCCCCCATCCTGCCAGCGTTCGCACACTTGTTCTGTCGTGTCTGCTGGAAATGGCCGGGTGGGCTGCGGTGGAGAAATGGGAATGGGGGGGGGAGGGGGTAATGGCAGCTTAGTGTGAAATTTCCGCTGTGTTCCCAGTTTCTCAGTAGACCCAGGCAAACATGCGCTGCAAGATTATGTACATATATAACTGCTATTATTATTGTAGTGTTATTATCTATGATTAACAGTGATTGTGGTCTTAGCAGCAGTAGTCTTAGTTATTTTGTGCCCGTTTAATTATAAATGGCCCTTGTACCTTGTTTAACTTTTTTTGTCGTCATAGTTACTGTTGAATGTTAATTAAAGTGGTAGAAATCTAATGGCATTTGCGAGCTCTAAAAATAGTTTTTTTTTTCTTCCTTGGTGGTGAGAGCCACCTTGTGTCCCTCAAGCCACCTTCTACATTTTCCGACAGGCGTTCCAATAGACACCCATGTCGGTGTGTGCCAAGGGGACCTGATTTGGCCATCCCGGCCGGTCTCGGTGTTTCTCAATATGCGTACTTGACCGTACTTGTGTTCTTGCCTACCCCATTTACACCACCTTACCCTTCTGACGTACAATTCCAATGCGCAGCAACAGAAGTACAAAGAACGGTAAAAATGTCGTTCTTGCCTCAGTCCCATGATTCAATGCGCCCTAAGTTTGTTCTTGGGAGGCAAAACTACTCTTGCCAAGACCGGACGTACAATCTTTGTGTTCTCGGTATTGAGAAACACCCTCAGTGTCGTCCATGTGGTGACAAGCAGGCACACGGTCGGTCAGGGGGCTCCTTGGTGTGGAAAAGGTTTCACGTTTCTTGGTGCCAGGTGTCTTTGTTTGTCTTTCTCCCACTTTTTAAGCCGTTACATTTTTATTTTATTTTATATTTTTACGTTTTAGCATTATGTCTGTCGTGTTGTCCTTCTTTCTTGATACGTAAACGCACTTCAGGCATCTGTTTCGATGCCAACCCTACCACTGATGTAGGCAGTGAGACCTGAAAATGGCTTTTTCTCTCTGCTCGAGTTTTATCCTACCCCCCCCCCCCTGCATAATAAATCCACACCTTTTTGGTTTTCCTTCAACATACTCAGTCTTGGCACGCAGAAGGGCTTGATTTATTTACTGCGAGAAGTTCAGAGCACTTGGGTTTCAGGAGGAGGAGGAAGCAGCTCGCAACCTTTTGAACTTGAGGAGAGTGATCTTTGGCTCAGACGTCTAATTACACCGTATCTGTAACCTATGTGCCTTGTAAAATCCTGGGCTGTTAATGATAAAGGTTTCCCTCCCCCTCCACTTGCTTTGATGTGACTGGATCAAAATGGAAGCACATTACAACTCCTCTACATTCCCGCGATGCCACATTCTTCTATTAAGAACACAGACATCAGTGTCGAGTCTGTCCAGGTTTCTGATATTTACTTTATCCGTGGTAGCGAGTTTCATAGCCCATTATGGTATGGAGACTATTTAATCTGGGTTTTATGTTCCGTCATCATGAAAGCCATCTGTAAAATTTATTTTTATTATGTTTCAGAATTCTGTCTACATGGTTTTGTGCAGGAGAGCTGAGTACTTTTGATACATCCTACTGGGCTATTTAAACTGGTCTGTTTTGCAAGTGTATCTGTTGAAGCTGGTAAATTTAGCTTACAATGGAATACATGTTCATTGGGCAGTTTTGGTCATTTAATATTTTTTACCTTTGATTCGTGTAGTGAACATGCATAAAAGTTAGTGTGGAAAATTGCAGAGAATTAATCTTTTGTCCGTAAATGAGTAGCAAACAATAGTTGTAATTTAAAAAATGGAAATGAACTAATTTGCCACACGCAGGGAGCCGATCTCAAGGCCCCCCGCTCGTAGGAGGAGACGTCAAAAAAGCCTGCATTCGGAAGCTCAGTGGGCCAAGTCATTACATGACCACATACAAGGCTAATTATAGTCGGAGTATTTTCATTTTCTTATTTTACATGTTGCTGGAGATTTCCGGCTTTCTCGAAAATGCCTTATTGTGAGGACCTACTCGTGCAGAGCCCACACTGAAAAGCATTCAGCGCAATCATAATGATGCAAATTATGGCCGCAGCCTCTAGTTAATTTTTGAACACCTTTTTTCGTAAATTAAAAAGCCTAATTTCACCTTGTGAATTAATCAAAAGCCATTACGTGCCCGCTTGTCCTTCTGGCAATAACCTTGTGGTCTTTCTCTCGCTTCCGTAGATGGGGCCGATGTAGATGATGACCCATCCTGCTCTTGGCCTGGCTCTTCACCTTCCAGCAAAGACCAGGCATCCCCGGAGCACGGGGACGAGGCCGATTTCGGAGAAGAGGAGGGCCGCGGCGGGCTGCCCTACCCCTGCCAGTTCTGTGACAAGTCGTTCAGTCGCCTCAGCTTCCTGAAGCGCCACGAACAGAGTCACGGCGACCGCCTGCCCTTCAAGTGCACCTTCTGCAGCCGCCTATTCAAGCACAAGCGCAGCCGTGACCGGCACGTCAAGCTGCACACGGGTGACAGGAAGTACCACTGCCGCGAGTGCGGCTCTGCTTTCTCCCGCAGCGACCACCTCAAGATCCACATGAAGACGCACGCTGTAGGCAAGCCGCACAAGTGCACCGTGTGCCGCCGCGCCTTCCAGTCCTCCAGCTCCCTGCACAGCCACATGCAGGTCCACGAGCGGGCCAAGGACAGCGGCCAGGGCCTGTCCGCCGAGGACGACTGGAAAGTGAGGGAGACCCAGAAGTGCAGCCAGTGCGAGGAGGGCTTCAATGCCCCTGAGGACCTGCAGAAGCACATTTCAGAGTGCCACCCGGAGTGCTCGCCAAGTCAAGACAGCAGCGCCCTGCCTTGCATCTACTGCAAGGAGCTTTTCGCCGATGAGGGTGCCCTCCTGGGCCACATCGAGCAGGCCCACACACGTGACAAGAAGAGCCATGCGTGTGCTGTCTGCTCCGAGCGCTTCCGCACGGTCGAGGACCTCTACAGCCACATGGACGTCCACCAGCAGCCCGAGTCAAGTAACCACAGCAACAGCCCCTCGCTGCTCACGGCGGGCTACACCTCCGTGTCCAGCACCACTCCGGACTCCAACCTCTCGGTCGACAGCTCCACCGTGGTGGATGCCGCACCGCCCTTGCCCAAAACCCGGCGGCGGAAACGAGCCGCCCAGCATGCGGCCGGAATGGCCAGGCTGTCCTCCAAGCAATCCAAGGTCACATACAGCTGCGTCCACTGCAACAAGCAGTCGTTTTCCAGCCTGGCCGTGCTGCAAATTCACCTGAAGACTATGCACATGGACAAACCCGAGCAAGCGCACACCTGTCAGTATTGCCTCGAGGTGCTGCCCTCACTCTACAACCTCAATGAGCATCTCAAGCAGGCTCATGGCACCCACGACCCCAACGCTCTGCTCTCTCCTGCCACGCTCCAGTGCAACTTCTGTCCCGAGGTGCTCGTCGACCTCAACGGTCTGCAAGAACACATCCGGTGCCTGCATGGTTTCCCCAGCCCAGTGGCGAAAGAGAGCAATGCCTTCTTCTGTCCTCAGTGCTTCATGGGCTTCCTCACAGAGGCCAGTCTGGAGGAGCACATCCGTCAAACGCACTGCGACGGGGGAAGCCTGCGTTTTGACTCCCCCTTAGCTGGGACCCCTAAGGATCCCATTGTTGAGGTCTACTCATGTTCCTATTGCACCAACTCACCCATATTCAACACCGTCCTGAAGCTGAACAAGCATGTCAAAGAGAACCACAAGAACATCCCCCTAGCACTTAACTATATTAATAATGGCAGGAAGTCCCACTTGACTCTCAGTCCACTGTCCCCCATGTCTGTGGACCAGTCCTCCTTGAAACAAAGTGGGTCCTCATCCCGCTTGAGCAGTGAATTTATCTGCAATCAGTGTGGGGCGAAATACTCTAGTTTGGATTTGTTTCAGACTCACCTGAAGATGCACATGGACACTAGTCTCCCAGAGCTGACTTGTCCACAGTGCAACAAAGAGTTCCCGAATCAGGAGTCCCTGCTGAAACATGTGACCACCCATTTCATGATCACCTCCACTTACTACATCTGTGAAAGCTGTGACAAGCAGTTCACCACGGTGGATGACCTGCAGAAGCACCTGCTCGAGATGCACACTTTTGTGTTCTTCCGCTGCACGCTCTGCCAGGAGGTTTTTGACTCCAAGGTCTCCGTCCAGCTTCATCTGGCTGTCAAGCACAGCAATGAGAAGAAGGTATACCGCTGCACCTCCTGCAGCTGGGACTTCCGACACGAGTCAGATCTGCAGCAGCACGTCAAGCACAACCACCTGGAGAGCCAGGGCAAAGTACACAAGTGCATCTTCTGTCGAGAGGCTTTCGGCACTGAGGTGGAACTGCAGTGCCACATCACCACCCACAGCAAGAAGTACAATTGCATGTTCTGCAGCAAGGCTTTTCACTCCATCGGCCCTCTGGAGAAGCACCTCCGAGAGAAGCACTGCATCTTTGACTCGAAGCCACAGAACTGCGGGGCCAATGGTGCCTCTGTGGGACCCGAGCCCACCCCCAAGGATGATGCAGAACTGCAGGGCATTGTGGCCAACAGCCATGAATCCCACAACAGCCACAACGGCAGTGAGGAGGATATAGACACCTCTGAGCCCATGCATAGCTGTGACATCTGTGGCGCTGCTTACACCATGGACACCCTGCTGGCCAACCACCAGCTGCGCGACCACAATATTCGCCCAGGTGAGAGCGCCATGGTCAAGAGGAAGGCCGAGATGATCAAGGGCAACCACAAGTGCACGGTCTGCTCTAAGACTTTCTTTTCTGAGGGGGGGCTCCGGGAACATACGCAGACCCACCTCGGCCCTGTCAAGCACTACATGTGTCCCATCTGCGGCGAGCGCTTCCCATCCCTCCTCACCCTCACCGAGCACAAGGTCACCCACAGCAAGAGCCTGGACACGGGAAGCTGCCGGATATGCAAGATGCCCCTGCAGAGCGAGGAGGACTTCCTGGAGCACTGCCAGATGCACCCGGACCTGAGGAACTCCCTGACGGGCTTCCGTTGTGTGGTCTGCATGCAGACGGTGACGTCCACCCTGGAGCTCAAGATCCACGGTACCTTCCACATGCAGAAGACTGGCACCGCCATGACTGTACAGCCGGCCGGACGTGCCCTCCAGCTCTCGCAGAAGATCTACAAGTGCGCCTCGTGTCTCAAGGAGTTCCGCTCCAAGCAGGATCTGGTGAAGCTGGACACCAGTGGCCTCCCTTACGGGTTGTGCTCCGCCTGCACAGGGGTGGGGAGTCAAAGCTCCAGCCCGGCTGTGAATGGCAGGAAGCAGCAGCAGCACGAAGCCACCGCCCTGGCTTATGCAGAGAGGCTCAGCCCTGGTGAGGCTAGGGCTAAGACCACCCCTGTCAAGACAAGGTGCTCAAGCTGCAACGTCAAGTTCGAGTCGGAGACGGAGCTTCAGGGCCACATGCTGTCTGTCCACAGGGACGTGGGGGGCGACAACCACGGCGGCCCAACTCGAACACCCCAGGTTTCCCCCATGCCCAGGGCCAGCCCCTCCCAAGTCGAAGAGGTAATCCCACCTTTGGCTACTTAGACCGTTAATGGTCGTAATCACCATTGTGTCAATTTTTGTTTTCCAATACAACAACATAAGTATTATTTGAATTTCTATTGCTGTTCCATAAATGAGGTCTATGTAGCATTATCATTCACTTCTGGCCCTCTGTAAAAATGGTACAATCTCTCCATCTTTAACTTCTGTTCCTCTGCAGAAGAAGACTTACCAGTGCATAAAATGTCAGATGGTCTTCTACAGCGAATGGGACATCCAGGTCCACGTCGCGAACCACATGCTCGGTAAGAGTGGGCCGCGGGTCTTGTTATACGCTCAGTAATGGGTTGAGTAACCCTGGATTGCTTTGCGGTCATGTTCTCAGATTTGCTTCTCTTAATGGGATGAAGGAGAGTCATATGCCGGCTGTTGGGTGCATGTTTATGTATGTTAGACAAGTGCATACATTTATAATTCCGGCCCATTCTGTGCTTGTTCCCAGATATTTTATGCTGAGGAAATTATCTAGCTATACAGAACCCCCTGCCCCAATATGTTGGTGAGACAGAAGGTTATTTACTGTGGAAACTACACTCAGCTCCCTGGCTCAAAGGTACAAAAGCAGACCCTGATCTAAGTTCAGGCTAAATGTGATTGATGGAAAATGAAGCACTTTGATTCTCATGGGGTGAAGATGAGATATAGCAACATTTCACTTTTTGTAAGGCACATTGCGGTCGATTTTTTTCGATATTAGGGCAGGTTCTGCGGGTTAGAACGAACCTGGGTATGAAGGTGCTTCTTAAAGGGCCATGGATACTGAAGGATTACCCTGATTTGCCACCCATGGTCCAAAGTTGGTTCTTGTTACTGTGTGCGTGTGGTCTGGCTTTTCTTTCTTATCTCCAAACTGGATATGCGGTCGATTGATGGTTATCAGCTGTCACTGGACAGCAGTTTCCACGTTAGTACTCACAGTTTCCTAGTATTTTTATATTGTTTTTCAGATAATAAGTAAAACAGAATGTCAAAGCAATGAGTTTTCCCAGCAGGGTGACAGGGAAAGTTATTTTGCTGTTGAATTAGCTTTTAAGTGCAAACTAAAGACTGAAGGCAAAATTTAAGAATGTGGCTAAAGCAGTTTGTTGATCTGAGGGATGCACCATAGAACAGGAATCAAAGCGGTTTCCTCTATCGAGTAAATCTCAGCATTTTGTAATGGGAAAGGCTGTCTAATGCCTCATTGCTCTTGCTATGAGTTTCTCACGAATTTCCCCTCAACATTTTACTGTTCAGCCTTGCTGGCTGTTTTTGATTTTATCCCAAAAAACATGCCTCCTAAACTCAATAATATCATCAGACGTACAGGTCCCCGAAAAATATGATGTTTTCTACTTATGTCCAAAATTATATAGTGTATGAAGAATATTGATAGTTTTTAGATATACAAAGATGTACAGAACATGCCAACCTCGAATGGAGAAGCAGAACAGAAAAATGACACATTAATGGATATAAAGTTATGATGTTTACATGCTGAACAAAACACCATATCTCAAATGGGGAATATTTTACATTTGTGAAAGTCAATGGACCCTAGAAAATAGGATATTTAAAAACACGACACTTAAAATCACTATATAAAAAACACCAATTTTAGCTTTCCAGGTGATTAGCCAGAAACATTGCTGACTGTGTACTACCATGAGTGAGCCGTGGAGAGTGAGGCACTGGTGGTTCCATATCTCCACCATCCAAAGTGGTTTCAAAGGGCACCACTTCCCGGTTTTTGTTTGTGGCTGTGAGATTAATCCATTTGGGTCAAGGGGGGAGTTGACAATAAATACTCCTTGAAAATAAATCCAAGACTTAAACTTGTATTGCTTTCTCCATTTTTTCAGACTTTAAAGGTCAGGAAAGCAGTGAGCATTAGAACCAGTTTTCATTAAAAATAATAAAAATTCTCATACCAGTTAAACAGCAAGAGCAAAAAACCCGCTGGGTGTAAAATGAGCTGATCAGTGCAGCTGAACATGGTGTAATAACGGATGGCAGACCCACGAGAGGCTCCCTTGATGACAATGGGTTAAATCTGGACAGAGGGCTTATTACTGCACAATGGATTTGGATGAAGCCATCCTCATTTGGACAAGCTTTAAGTACTTCTCTTTTTTTCACTGGAAGAGGTGCTTTCCGCCATAATGGCCATCTGTCCAGGAGAGATTAGACGGGGGCCCAGGTCAGCTCTCGTCAGCTGTCATGGTTGTAACCTCGGTAGCGGTACCTGTGTGTCCTCGCGGGCATCGCCGTCCGCTATCCCAGCATGCCGTAGTGCAGGCGGGAAAACGCGCGCGAGAAGGCGAATGGGGACAAGTGGCGGAGGATTCGCCGCCTCTCTCGTCTTGGCCAGAGTTGTTATCGGAAAACCTCCCTCCCCCCGCGCCGGTCACATACGAAGCTTCAAGTCTCAGGAGTCTCCTGCTTGCCAGGGCGGTTTAATACACCAGCGAGACGCCCGGGTGAGGCTGGAATTCAAAGCAGATGCCACTCAGGTGCGGGGCTTCCGCCATATTGAACGCGATGCGCCGCCGGGCTCCGCTGGGCTCAGGGCGGAGACGTGGGCTCACGGATGCTCTATGCGGGCAGCGTGTCGTGAGTGAGCAGCTGTCGGAGCATTTTAACTGCATCTCAGTGCGGGACATTAATACGGGGAAAAAACCCCGCAATACTGCGCTAAGCGAGGGAGACTTTAACAGTTGGTCGCTCTCGTCTGGAGTGTCTGGCAGGGCGCATAGCTATGGCTAACCTTTTATTTATCCCTTTTAGCCACAGGGACATTAAAGCCATTAGCTTCCATTAGCTTTCCTGGTCGCTATTAGTTCTGTCTTTTGTTTATTCCATTACAGTGTTTTCGGTGGTGTTTTGAATACTTTGCAGCCTCCCTAAAAAAGCGTTATACAAGCGTTTTAAAGCTTGCGGGGATCTGCCCTACAGCTTCCCTTAGTATATGTACGAGACAGAAAAGCCTCAATGAATAATTACATCGGTAACAGTGGTGTTGGGAAACATCGCTGTTTAATAATAATAATAATAATAATAATAATTATTATTATTATTATCGTGGTCTAGTGTTGTGAAACTAGCGTCCCTTCGTCTCACCTCGCCTCATCGATTCGTAGTCTAACGTCCATTTCATTTAGATATATTTACATAGCTTTCGTGCAATCGTTTTTTTTGCTCAATCCAGTTGAGACAAAGATGTGCCTAATCAAAATTTTCTGGGCATTGTCTGTATATTAAGTCCAATAAACGCTCCTTGACAGATAATGTCACATGAAGCACGAAAAACGTGTTACTCCCTCAAGAACCATGACATCCTTAAAGCTGATTTTCAGCTTTAGTAGTTTATAAACTCCGGTTCAAGTTGAAAATTCTGCAGGTATTTCTATCCCCCCATTCTCACTTAATTGGCTGAGTGTTTCGTTCCGGGGGGTTCCGAACCACAAAAAAAAAAACAAGTGTGTCCCCCTCCCCTCAAGCACAGAGATGACTGTGAGTTGGTCCGAGTCACCTCTACCAGTTGGGCCGGTGACAAGCGCGGTCGCCTGCCAACCCTGCGAGGTTCCCTCCGTGTCGCAGGACGGAGCCCGCAGCCTGCTAGGCCTCGGTCGGAGGGATGCAAATTCGCTGTACAGCTGGTGGCACCGTGGGGGGGCAGCGGCGTGGGCCCTACTGGAGCTGGAACCTGGGCAAGTGTCATGCCTCACCCCTTCCTCTTGTATTCTCTCTCTCCCCTTCCCTCCCTCCCTCCCTCCCTCCCTCCTGCCTCACGATCCATATTACAAAAAAAAACCCAGTCAACCAGCATATAATCTGCTGCCATTGCTAACTGGAGACGCCTGGGCTAGAGGTCCCCAGCAAGTCCCCTGGGGGAGCCTGCACGGCGTGCTAAAGTATGACAGACTAATGATTCCGAAACAAGTGGCAACCCCCTCATACACCCCAAAAGAGAGACCCACCAGTGGCAGTGGCTGAAGCTGGTACCCGGATTAAAGCGAACGACTGCTAACCAGCTCCTACACCGACGCCTGTGCCTCCCTGCAGCTCTGTGACGGACCCTTAGGAGGCTTTCCGTCTGGCTTAGGAGGCCGTGATTGTTTCTTCCCTCATTCTGCACCTACTGATGCTTATATCCAGTAAAGTACAGCCCCTCCTGCCCAGCCGTGCGTGTCATTGGTCATTAGCAATTAGCTCGACCTTAATGCTCATTATATCTCAATTTCTCTAATATACCCAAGGGGCACTTGAATCTCAGAAAGAAATTAACTTAACTCCAGACTTTGGTTTGTGCTTTTTCTTGCGTTTGGTGATGTTTCTGCCTTAATTATGTGCTTGTTTCTTACATAACCCGTCCACTACAGGAGCGGAAGGCTTCTTCGGTGAATCAGAGGATATTTCTTGTCAGAAAAACAATAGAATGCCGTCTTTTTAAAGAAAATGTTCAGATGACTTGTGGGCGGTGAGCGAATACGATGACATTGTTTTGGATGAGTGCTGCATCTCTCACGAGTTTGCACGTCTCCCCGGAAACGGTGAGGAGGCCACCCCCCGATCACCCCGTGCGTTCCCATGTTTTATTCATGCCTCTGCAGGCACACGCATTTCCCGTGTTCCATTGACCCTCCTGAATCTGGATGATAACGCTTGGCTGGCATGCCCCCAGTCCCTCCCCACATCGTCCTGCCGCTACGCGTTATCGGGACGGGGGGGGGTTTATCACGTGACCTGCTGTGTTGCTAAGCAGCCAGACATGTGGAAGCCGCCTCGGTGCAGTGCCTGGGTTCTCTGAGGTCGACCTAGTTTGTCCGCCTCATGACCCGGTACCTGCCGGGCTCATGTGCCGATCGGATCTGTCCAGTTTGCTGTTTGCCCTTTTAGGATGATTTATTTTTTTGGGATGGTTCAGCATCCGCTGCAGGTACCATGGAGCTGGGGGGGCATCGTTTTAAGCTGTTCTTTCTGCGCACTGAGCCATTCCTGCCATAACATTATAAGAATATTATGATCTAATTTGCCCCTTTTTAATGGACTGAGTATAAATGCTGCAGAGAAAATGAATTCTTTGCTTGTGTGTTTTTGAATATAATGATTTGTTAATTTTATTTATAATCACATTCTAATTTCCACTGCTGATACAAAAAAGCAAACAGCACAGTGTAATCTTATTTAAGTAAACTTACTGTTGGACCACAATATTGTGTTCAGTATTGACATACTTAGCAGATGCTGTGGATTGTTTTGATGG